GCTTTAGATGCAGCAGCGAGCGCAGTACGTTCCTCTACCTGTTTATGCTTGTTGTGTTGACTTTGTACTCCGTCAAGTACAGAGTATATCTGGTGCAGGGCACTGAAGTCTTTTGATATATAGTACATCCTTTTCAGTTTTCTCAGTTTAGACCTAGTCTTTTGGTTTATATAGGGATGAAAATAAGGATCGCTCTTACGAGAGGCTTCAATCGATCAAAAAGAAGTGTTCAAAAAAGGACCTGACCATCCTGATGGTTGATCTGAATGTCAAAGTTGGAATGGGCGAACCGAGTAAACATGTATCACTGAACGATATGTACAAGGAGAAAAGAATGAGTATGGTAAGAGATTCGTGAATTGTTGTGTATTCAAAAAAAATTTTGTGGACGGCACAATATTACCACACAAACGGATACACAAAGCTTCATAGGTACCACCGAATCACACCACATTACGAAGAACCAGACAGGTCATCCTGCGAGGCGGAATAAAGGATGCGCACTGCTGAGGAGTCGCACTATAAGGTGGAACGGCCGTCCAGTGCTTCCAGGTCTTCCATGGTGGTCTAGCTTTAATTTACTCATGATCGTAACTGTTAAAGTTACTATAATATCCACAGAACCCCTTCTGATATTAATCAATATATGATCACCAGTGACCGGCTTCAAGAGGTATTTCTTGGAGTTTTGGTGAGAAGCAGTAACTAGTGGAGTTCAACTGGGTTTGTTGTGAGATAGTAACTAATTGAAGACAGCGGTGGATGTGTCGCTCATTAACTCTGTTGAATGCTAGCAACTACTTGAAACATTAATCAATATTGGAATTCCAGAGGCTAATTTCATAGAATTTTTTTCGAAATGTACAATGAATGTGAATTGTGTCTTTAATAACATATATTCTAGACAAATTGATGGTATAGTGATGGGCTCAACTCTAGGTTCAATCCTTGAAAATTTTTCTTGAGAAACTGGAAAACGGACCTCTCAAATTTGTTATTGATATGCTTGACTTCTACTGTCGTTGTGTTGATGATACCTTAATTATTGTCGATCAGAACATTGTAAAAGAAGAACTATTAAAGCCGTTTAACAACAAACATCCAGCAATTAAATTTTCGTGTGAAGAGGAACTAGATTATGGATTACATTTCCTTGACGTTCTGTTTAACAGAAAAGAGAACGGTTCTGTCAGTAGAAGTATGTACAGAAAAAGTTCTTCATCATCTTCCTCACACATTTCTTAACTTTGTACCCCTTCATTATAAGATAAACTTAGTCAAATATCTGGCAAGTAAGGCTATTACGATATGTTCAGTCGATACCATTAACAAGGAATTAGTGCTCATACACAATATGTTCATTGAAATGGGTTGTCCACAGAGTTCCCTGATGAAACATTGCGTGTAACAAACAAGGAAATAGTGATATCATTGTTTAGTAAGAAACCTCTCCTACCAATTTCTACTGTTCACTTATTCTGTTTATTTATGTAATTTATTCCACTGTCACCACTAACTTGTAGCATGGCGTCGAGTTGCGGTTGAATATGATCACCGCTACAAGGTTGCGTACTAGATATCAGAAGGCGATTGGAGGTTGTAGCAAGATATATTTGTTGGCGATCTCGTGGTATCAAAAGAATAACGAGATCGTGCGAAAGGAGCACAAACGGAATCACTGAGCAAACATGGGTGTATGCAAGGTCACAAGCAACGGAAAAATATGTCTTTAGTACAGTTAAACAAGCAAGTACAGTAAAACAATCACTGGTAAAATTGTTTCCATTACACCAATCGTGTTCTCTTGATAAAAGTAGGTCACTAAAGACTCATAAACTGCCTTGATTGGTTCAATAATTTCGTATATGCATATAAATATTACTGTATATTACCGTAAAGCCTGATGAGAATCTAGTCAAAAACTATATTGTTCGCTGATATATTTTGTTCTGAATTACAATATAGGAATTTTTCAAATTATTTTATTTTGTCTGACAACCCTAAATTCACATGCTTTAAATAATGTACTTTGCCCTAAACCTGGCCATTTTTCGGATTATTAATTTGGACATATAATTATGGGAATTTAAGGCAGTTGGTCCCTTTGATAAATTTCGGTAGTGTAATAAGGCTAGGATTATCAGAAGTATGTGATATATTACCTCAATGCATTTCGAAATATGTGATCGTACTTATACTTGTTAAGAACATTTATACATAAAAGGTCAACTAGACTCAGAATGAAGGTTAAGGGGAGACAAGCATAATAAAGAAATAATAGTCATAATGACCCAATAATAGTGGAGGATAAGCATTCATCATTCCATATTGCCAAACACATAATTGAAACAGGACATAAGATTTACCTTAACTCGGCTTTTGTCGTGATGTACAAAAGTGTAAAAAGGTGTTGTAAGGCCAGCGAAATGTCACTAAGCCCTAGCCAAATCATCCGTCAGTTGATTCACTGAATATCGAAACGGTCATCGATCCCTATCAAGGTCAAATATAGCCAACGCGCATCAGTTGATCGTACGCCATAGACGGGCACATGCGACAGTGGTCTTTCGCTTGTGTCTACCTTAACTGATATAATTTTGTAATAACGTCCTCTGTGTTGTACAATCTTCAAAGCATCTATAATACCTTGATACGTCAGTGGGGTAGTCTACGTAAGGTGCTGACCACGAGGCGTAACTTCTACGTTAACTGGTTCGTCACACTATTCCCGTCTAACTTGAGTAAGCCTCCAATTATTTCGACATAGATCATCTATGTTGGTGATCTACAGCGTATACTAAGGTTCACGAAGGCATTAGCCATACGAAAATTCACCCCCCTCTGTGTATTCAAAAACAGTTTATTCTCACCTTAAGCCTAATCCGGTAATATTAGCTTATTATCCAGAGTGATGAGGTTTCACGTTGTTTTCATATTAGTTATTTATTATCTTTGTCTCGCCTTACCCTCGATTCCTAGTCGACCTTTTATTTTCATATATAAATGTTCTTAACAAGTATATGTGTGATAAGATTGTTCGAAATGTATTGTGCTAATACATCACAGTTCCGATAATCTTCGTCCTTTTATTACACTATCGACAATTGTAGAACCTGGAGAGAATCTATCGAAAAGATTATTCTTCATTAAAATACTAGTCTTTTAATACAATATACACTTATTTTGAAAAGTAAATAAATGTGCATTGCACCAGTCTCCTTACTTTGTGAAGTGGGAATTACGATGGTTCTGAATATCAGCTATAGGCATTAAAGTTGTGGTTACAACATACGAAATGAGCACGGAGCTTTAAGCCAAGATCATCACAATCACAGTTGAAATCCAGTAGTCTATATTATCTGATTCCATAGACTTATTGCACAACACGATTTAATAACTTCATTGACACCGTATGGAAACAGTTGGATAACATGAACAGCACACGGAAGATTTTCTTATCAATATTTATTTACCAACTGTCTTCTGTCTCGTTAACAATGAGTTTATCACTTAAATACCCATAATTTGCATGTTATAAGGATCCCTTCTATTTTGAAATCTCTCATAACAGCACTAAGGAAGATGAGTTATCACAAGACTGATAACATCTGGATCCATATATTTGAAATACCGAGTTAACGTGTAACAACCTTTAAACTTCAATCTCCAACCATATAACTACGGTAACTTTAAAATGCTGAAAATTCCCAGTATAAATTACAAAAGTATTGTTTTTAGTTAGATCATCAGGCTTAATTTCAATATACAGTGATATTTAGATACATATATCAAGTAGTCAAAGCAGTTCATGAGTTCAAGTATAACTTAACACAATTCAAAAAAGGGCAAATTTATAGTATGATGGCAGGTATACTAATTGTTACGTGAATAATGAAATCAGTACATCCACTCGACAAAGCTGTTTTGATCAGAATTAGTTTTTTGCAATTTTACGTACTAAGTGTATTTAGTGCATTGCAAAACGACAGTTATTGTACTCAATTACAATCCATATTAAGTGCATAAGTAGAGCAAAAACAACAGATGCATATACGTTAACAAGTCAAAGTGCATAAGACAAACAACCTCGCCTTTATGCTTACATTATAAATATATATGTGATGAGGCACTATTAGTAACTCATTTTTTGTTAAATCTTTATCAGACGTATCAAATTTGGAATTTTTATTTCAAAAGAAATATGAATAACTCAATACTAATTACACTAATTATAATACTAATTTATTCTCAAAGAATTAATGCAGGTACTGACTATAAAAAACGTCGACAAATGGATGGCGTTGGTTTGCGGACCACTATGAATAGTTTTAAAACTTATGATGAAATTCTCAAACACCCTTTTGATTTTAATTTACATGGAGATGACATAACAATCTTTGACGAGTTCCTAAAATATCTTATTGATGGGTGTCTGGATCCCAACAAATGGTTTGAATCTATCATATAAGAGTCCCAGCATAATTTAGTGGTTGGAAGTAACCCTCTCTTCTATTCAATTCATCGTATAATCTAATTCGATATTATCAAAACAGTGATGAGTAGACTGGATTAAAATGGTTACTTTCCCTTGTAAACCGTGTCTACTAGTATTTATATTCTGTAACTTTGATGATAAGTTATCAAGTATATGCTAAATTAACAAACGACTTAATTCAATACAATACTTCAGACGTATGTCTTATTAAATTTATTTCAAGTGTTAATATAATTTATGAGTAATCAAACCCACATGCTCGGTCATTAATAATCACACCTTTAATAATCTCTGCTAATAACAAACACACTTTATATTAGCTTAGGAGAGGGTTGCGCACGGACTTTAACCTATGATTCCTGCATACCATTATCAAAGAAACTCCACTGATTAGACCTTGAACAGTGTATTCATCCCTTGATACACAAATCAACATCTTATCTGTACCACAGGTTATCGAGGTCATTACTCAATAACTCTACTCTCAAACCTACGACCAATCATTCTTGGCTTAACTGTGATGCACACAATTACATTAAAATGGGAAACGATAAAGGTGATAGTGGTTTATAACCTCAAGTGCTACATTGGATTTTATATGACAAAGTGGTCAAGCATTTGTCCAGCATGGATATAATATGCAGAGCGATCTGGTAGTACCAAGATTGTTGCTATTGTAGAGAGCGGAACGTCATAACGTCGGACATCTAAGGTAAAAGAGTCAAATACAAATGAGATCTAATTAAACTCCAGTTATTAGGGCTGATATTATGTTCTAAAAGTCCTCGTCAGCGTTACTGACGAAGTAGTGTGTCTTCTAAAAAGCGGTTTAAGGTTGTAGGCTAGTAAATTTCCAAGAAAAATACACACGATACTCATGCAAACATTTAGTCGGGTTCATTTAGATACTAGTTTCAAATTTCCTAATAATATGACTCATTATAAGACAGCTAGATAGTATTAGCAGGAAAAGTCCCATGCAGGTTGATTCCTCACAAGAAAGACAAACGCTATCAAAAGCGAACTCATAGTATCCGAACAATCTCCATCATCCATAAATCATTTAAAGTTACTAGTTATATTTGATAGACAAGGTTTTATACACTAGGGGATCCCGATATCAAATCCTGCCCAGAAGACATTGTACGAGGAGCTCAAGTATGGACAGAGTTACTTCCAGTGAATTACTCATCATGTCAAAGTCACGGATCACTTACACTCGCCCGGACAGGTCTAATATAAGATAAACTAAGTGTCTTGCGTCTATGCTTATGCGGCCGTTGACAGTAAATCTTTACATTTGCTATGTACTGATGGTTGAACAGGTACTAGGAAGTGTGTACTATGACTGAGTCAAACACGACAAGCCTTACGTGCGTTTTTCCCCCATAAAATTGAGATGGAGTTTGGAACCGAATGCATAAAAGCAACAGCAAGTATTTTGATGAGACTGGCGTATATATTCAAGTGCGGTAAGTTCACACAACTACAACAATGTTATTACATAACTCCATGGTGCATGAAGGGCAACACTAACTTACTGACTGATAAGCGGATATATAAGAAATAAAAATATAGGAAAAGATGTTTGACGAAACCCTCATCTCCACCAACAATTATTTATCTTCACAGATTAAAATCATGAGTCAGTTGAAGCTAGACCACCATAGAAAACCTGGAAGCACTGGACGGCCGTTTCGTCCTAGTATGGGACTCCTCAGTAGTGCGCATCCACGATCCCGCACCACGCGGGGCTCGAACCCAGGACCAACTGGCTTCGCGCGCGAGCACTTAACCATTAGACTACTGAGCCGGCATCCAACGGTGTTAATGTCTGACCAATCCACGAAGTTTTCAATGGTGGTCTAGCTTCAACTGACTCATGATTTCAATCTGTGAAAATCTCCACAAACCCTTCTGATAATTATTTATCTGTTTGAACACAAAGACTGGCACAAGGAGGCACCAAATACATATGCGCCACACGATAACAATAAGGTTGTGGAGATAGATAATATAAAGTGCGTATAACAAAAAGAACATCGAACAGAAATTGGTGCATGAGCGAAATATTACCAGTAGTAATAACGTAGGGAGAAATAATTTGGTTAGTAAAAATACAACCAGGAATTATTCAGTGAAAGACGTTAAGTTCAACTTTAATTGTCGTTAATTTGTGAGCGGGCTGAGATACCACACGGATGCCCAAACCGATAGCAGATTTTCTTCGGGCGGGGGCACCCCAAGCCTTTGAACAAAAGGCTTGATCCGAAAGGCGGTGGAGCGACGTCAGGAGATATACCACCATGGCTGTCAGTGACCAACAAAAGGTTCACACTCCACTTGTTCCCTCGTGGTACTGGAGACAAGGTGCATCATTGATCTGGAGCTAGGGTTTTCCACCCCCCTACGTGCGTCTCCTGTACCCACCAACCCGGTTAAGGAACTAGACATTCGCTTTTTGTCCTCTCGATTTAACAGACAACAGCCCAACCACGAGAAGGCAGTAAGACTACCTCGACTTCTGTAAATTGAAGTGAATGAGATGCCATATATTTGATATCCACTTTCAATCGACGATTCGCAAGGCGTTCGGAGATTGCCCTGGCAAATAATTAGTTTTGGAAAATATACCATCCAGAGTTTTGGGGAACATTAAATCAAGCTCTCATTATTTTTGACATATGGAAACAAGATGCATATGCTTATCGGAACCAAATATTATTTGGAATTCTGCAGTAGGATCTTTTGGGTTTAGTATCGACCAAACAAATAAGGTGCAAATTTGTTAACTAGTTATTTTTCTTAAGAATCTTCACATTGCCTTGCTCACTGGAATAAGAACCGGATGCATGGTACTAATCCCAAGACATTTACAAAGCTATCATTTGAAACAAGCTATTTAAGCCTCATTAACAATCGAAGTTTAATAACAACTCTAAAATATACACACATGTTCTCGACTTGCGGTTATTGGAGCTCAATGTTACTTCCCTGAAAACTATTTCAAACGAATCGTGAGTTACGAAAGACCTATCAGCGTTTCTTAATGGTTTGAGCCGAAGTTACCACTAATGAAGGCTGAGCGTACAAGGACCTATAGGATTTCCACGCTGAAATGCTCATTTATATACCATGAATAGATTGATGTCGAATAGGATTTAGATTACAATTTGGCAGAACACAAAGAATGTATGCACCTGCGATATTGCAAACGATTTTGAGCCATATCATTCAGGGTCTCTAACCATCGGTTGCTATCATCTCGCGGTCCCCAACCAGGTAGTCTACACCTACCAACATGACTCAGTCCACTTGTCAGTGACTTTATGGACTTGTGCCATGTTTTGGTCTGGCCACCCCTAGCTTTCTTCCAACCTACTCCTATACCACTGAACATAGCACGTCGAGGCAGTCGGTCGTTGGGCATACGTAACACGTGTCCCAACCATCTCAACTGATGAAGTTTCACTACTTTATCAATTGATTTGCCATCCTTACCTAGTACCCGTTTCCTAACAACTGCGTTACTTACTCGATGGTCTCAGGATATACGAGCCATGCTTCAAAGACACCTATGATCAAATACTAGTAACCTACGGATATCCTCTACTCTTACCGGTCATGTTTCACTGCCATAAAGTAGGACGGAACGAACTGCTGTACAGTAACCACGTCCTTTGGTTGATAGACGGACTAATTACAATTCTGAAGCAACTGAGATTCACTGAGGAAACACGAACAAGACCAGCGCATCCACTTGTGGTCAACTTGTTTTTGCTGCTGTGATTGATGAAAAGCACATAGTTAGTAATAAAATTTGGACCAACTGAAGCAAAAGCTGACTGACCGAAAATCTAATCTCATGTGTTTCTGTATTCGAGTAAGTTTGCATGACATAAATAATAAGAAGCAGTAGATAGAAAGTTATTGTTTACAAACATCATAATACAATAAATATATGCTTGCAACAGTTTATCCATGAGATCAATTTTCTGTTGCAACAGGGAACCAATGATAGACTAACAAGCACATGCAAATATAACAAGTATTAGGATAGTTGAATACATGTTAGAAATTATGCAAACCCAAACGAAACATAGAATCGGTGATGAGAAAACAATGGTTAAATTTGCGAAGGAAAAACACTTCACAAAACGGTAGTACCTGATCTTCATCACACTAAAAAAAGATAATACAGGGGAATGCGAGTAATCATATTGAAAAATACATAGTTATTGAGAGTATAAGATATTTTCAAACTTAGACGCACCTTAACTGATTTTTAAGCTCTTGTAGCGTAGACCTTATCTAATAACAATTGTGTGGGAAGTTAAACAACAAACAAGTACAACCAGACGAAGCAGAAAACCATAAGAACATTTCTAAGATTGGTATCCGGTCTTGTTCGTGGTGACCATCTACTGAGACCTTATTTGAGATACCTTTTAGGATATAAATCTAAGTACATATAGAATTTAGTTGGCAATGACGGAAAACAAAAATGCTGTCTGAATAAGTTGAATAGAAATCCTAAATATTCTCTTCAGTCATCCCACACTTGCTAAAACTAGACGAAAAGTATCTCTTTAAAAGATAAGTCACAATCGCGAGTTTCAAAATTTAGCTAACTAGATATATGATGTTAAGGCATACAAGCAAACCTGATTCAGATACACAATATTTGATCTGAACTCCAATTAGATGGTACAAGAGGTTATGAAAGTAGAAGGGTATGAATTGTCGATAACTTATGTCTACCTGGTGTTTATAAGTAGTACAATGAACGGGCATAGAAAATACAAACAAGTTACCAGTTAAAGGCTTAATAAGAACGGTGAAGACGTAAACCCGATGTCAGTAAAAGAGCGACGAACTTGTAAGGAAGTTAGTTTAGATGATGGACATGGCTTGTAAAAAAGAACGTTAGAGATGAAAATTCGATCAAATGACCACTAGTCCTAGATCAACCACTGTTGATATTTCTGACAGAAGTTCGGAAAAATATTAGTGACTGGAACGGTATTTCGTTACATGAACACCGGTGAGGCTATAATTTATGGACGAACCAATAAGACTTATGATAACAAACTTTGAAGCTAAACTGTCCATCCATTTGGTTAAATAGCTTTTTGGCATTTTATCTGATGTTAGTTCGTGATGAAAAACCCAAAACCTAATTGCTAACTGTAACCATCAACTGTAAACCATAATTCTAATGGACACCTACATTTGGACATGCAGCGAAGACCATAACATTAAACACTAAAGATTCTTAACTATTGGTCTCGATGAACTTGATGGCTTTACTTAGTGTTTTTCTCCAAACTTTCAGTACGTCAACTTCAATCCAAATACTATGAGATCTACGTTGGGTAACATCCTTGATTAGTTCAAACGGGATATCTATCAGTAACATAATACTGGACTGTTTTGAAAGACATGGTTTTGGAGTTTTGATAACCGGCCAACTTGTGTTAAATAAATCGTTCATCCCTATTATAATTTTTTTTCGTTGGGAATAGAGCTAATGGTATGTTTGAGACATTTATGAACAAGCATGTTGCACAGATCTCGTGTAGGCTAAGTGTACTCATGATGTTCATTAAAGGAGGGAAACTGGCCATTATATTTGTAGACTTCAAACATATACTTGTAGTTTCTACTGGTTTAAGCATTTTGTAACACATATCAAGCTAAAAAATTGCTATTGCAGTTCCGGATGTACTTATCAAATTAAAGGGTGTCAGAGAAGTATGACTTCTTACCTGAACTTGTCCACAGACAAATATAAGAACAGAATTTTCGTTTGGATGAACATCAACATTAGTTATACCCACCTGAATTTTATTAGCAGGAAGTGACTTAAAAAATACTATTTGAATCCTTAGAAAACTTACAAGAAACTTTTCACCAATTTTATCTTGACCTACTAACACATCACCTTCGTATGTCATCCTTGCTTGGTTCTATAACAAACATTTAAATGAGTAAACCAACTACGTGATAAAAAAGTTTGAGAGAGCTTCTATCTCGCTGCATGGTATCGTAGTACTCCATAACGAAACTTTCACCTATCTGTCGATAGTTTTCAGGATACAGCGAGTGGTTCAACATAACTACCGTGCCGAATAATCGGAATATGACGCGGGCTTGAAGTGATGTAAAACTCTATATTCAATATCCAATATCATAGTAACAAACTAGTATATAATATTTGATTTTTCGCTTTCATTTAATGGTGTCATGTAGTCCTTCCGCACTTTTTGTTTGCTTTTAGTGACACACGGAAGGCAAACGTGTATTACGTTCATATGAATTGCCGAGCAAAGTGGAAGCAAACGTGTATATTTTATCGAGTGGTTCAAATCATTCTCGACGGAATGGAAGAAACCTTCGCCTAACTGGCTTCCTTATCTAGTGGCCGCGGATCACCGATTCCGCCAAGTTAGAACCCAGGCAAATTTAACAATAAGAGAAAAAAATTAAGTTTCAGAGAGATACTCTCCTTGATCATTAAGAAGATGTCAAGTTTTCTTACAAAGCACTCCCCGAAAGTCCCTTGGACTAGCTCACGTAGCAGGGAATTCCAGAACTTACCTATTCGTAAAGAGTGAAAGATATGCCTATACTTCGTTTCGCTATTCTCTGTCTTCGAATTTAAGGTGCTACCCTTAAAGTTTGTGTTAGGACTGAGGTTAAGTGGGAGTTTAATAGTGTAGCGTTAAATAAATCCCTAAAATAAATAGCTCTGTAAGTTTTCGACATTGGATGCTGACCACATGTTTTAGTGGACTCATCTAGCTGAAGGCGCTCGGTCAGGCATCCGTACCTAATCACGTGTGGTTACGCCGTGCTCAACATCTACCGCAATCGCTAGCCAGATTAGATCAGAGAATTCCGATATTTTGGTTATCGCCAAATACACTCTTCCGATCTCCTCGACTCTGTCTTTTGATTTCTTTGGGTGGGAACGAAATATATTAGAAGGTGTTACTGGTAGAAGCGTTGTCAAACACTGAATACCTGTGACATCATCATTGGTGAGTCCGACGTGATCTGGTACACCTAATTGCAACTGTGGGTCTGTTCCTTTTTGGGATTTTTATATATCATAGCCTTATTTTTCATTTTTTAAGCGTTGTGATTTTTTTTGGGTTTTTTCTTGGATATATATATTTTTCCCCTCGTTCATTATCGTACTTCATACTTCATCATGACTGAACAGACACCTAAAGTACTGAAGCTTAAGACTTTGTCCCCGCCTTCTGGCCCAACAACATCGAAGCCTGGTTTTGCCACGCAGAAGCCGACTTCTCCGAGAACGGCGTGATCGACACACGTGCACAATTCCTCGCAGTAGTCAAGGCACTATCGCGCGAATTCAACAGGTACGTAACACCTAGTATGTTTACTAATGATGTTTCCGATCCTTACGAAATCTTAAAACGCTCGATTCTTAAACGAGGAGACCTAACTGATAGAAAAAGGTTAGATCAACTCTTCAATAACATGGACCTGCAACACGGTTCTGCGACGGACATGTTGCAACGGATGAGAGAGGTAATAGGCCCAAGAACTTTTGACGAAGGTCTATTCAAACAATTCTTCTTGTCTAAACTTCCTCAACAAGTGCAAACGGTTCTGATCTTGTTTCAGAACAACGCCTTAGACAAACTGGTTGCATCTGCCGATCGTATTTTAGAAATTACGAAATCTTCTACTATCGAGGTATTTTCAGTCAAAGAAAAGCCTCACACGACTCAGAATGACATAACCGAGTTATGCCATACACTCACGCGTTATCTTAATCTTCGTAACGACCGTAATCGCTCGGACACCCCACGTAGAAGCATTTCACGTAAGCGATCTGTCTCTAGACGACGAGAGACGGATAACCCAGACTGATGCTGGTATCATAACCAGTATGGAAAGTCTTCCAGAAATTGCAGAAAACCCTACAATTTTCCCAACTCAAAACCGACCGACTCGAAAAACAACTCGGGAAACTTCCAAGCCGGCACGCGTTAACGGCAACCGTAGCCGGCGAACCTAGCCGTCTGTTATACGTCACAGATGTGACAACGAGAATTCGCTACCTCGTCGACACTGGCGCAGAAGTTAGCGTTCTCCCAGCGAATCCTAACGACCGACTACACGAATCGACCCTAAACTTACAGGCGGCAAACGGAAAACCTATCGCTACGTATGGCAAAAGGTACGTTTACCTTAACGTAGGTTTACGCAAACCCATTCACTGGATCTTCGTTGTTGCAGATGTTTCTATGCCAATTATTGGTATGGACCTTCTACGACACTATAATCTGATCATCGATACGCGCAAACGGAGGCTAGTAGACGGAAACACTAATTTATCCGTTTGCGTAACTTCCTTTTCTGGTTGCAGATTATCCCCAGTCACAGTTAAGCATATGATAGACCCACTTTATCAGCCACTACTCGATAAGTACCCTGGGATACAACAAACTCAACCGAAGCTACCGTGTGTAACCAGCAACGTTACACATCACATCACGACTACAGGACCACCTGTATTTTCTAAAGCACGATGACTAGCTCCCGAAAAGCTAAGGTTGGCAAAAAACGAGTTCGACCATATGATATACTTAGGAATCATACGACCGTCAAGAAGCCCATATGTATCGCCGTTGCACATGGTCCCTAAAAAGGACAGCAACGATTGGCGTCCAACTGGTGACTATCGGCGATTGAATGCGAAAAGCATTCCCGATCGTTACCCGTCGCCTCACATTCACGATTTGACAGCTACCTTGAAAGGTACAACTGTCTTTTCGAAAATCGACTTGGTTAAAGCGTATAACCAAATCCCTATGGCTACTGACGACATACCGAAAACAGCTATCATTACTCCCTTCGGACTCTATGAATTTTTGCGAATGCCTTTCGGTCTAAGAAACGCTGCTCAAACATTCCAAAGATTCATAGACGACGTTTTTCGAGGTCTCAACTTCGTACACGCGTATGTTGATGACTGTCTAATCGCAAGTCCGGACAGAGTATCACATCTCAAGCATCTGGATCTTGTTTTCGAACGATTACAAAAACATGGCATTACTGTAAACGTTCAGAAATGCCAAATCGGGACCGACTCATTAGACTTTCTCGGACACACTGTCGATGCTCAAGGAATCCGACCCCTTAGAACCAAAGTGGCGGCCACTCTGGATTACCCAGAACCGACCACCGTCAAGCAACTACGCACGTTTAACGGCCTGGTAAGTTTCTATAGACGTTTCATACCGAAATGCGCATTACTTATGAATCGACTTTTTTAAACTCGCTGAGCCTCAAAAAAAGACACTGATCTTCAGCACGAGCTTCGGTAAAACTGACGATAATATTTAATATATGTTTAAAACCACCTCTAATAATAATAGTAATAATAATAATAATAATAATAATAATACGCAAATCTGCATACATCCCATATCATAATGACCAAACTAAAAGCATCCTACAGTATGGTTATTAAGACATTAGATAACAGATCATTTCCATGCAGTTGGTTCCCTTTATGAATTTAAATAGAGCCAGAACAAACATTGATGAAGAATAGTATGAATTCATAATATTTCGAGGTTTCTCGTCAGCTGCTTAGAACCAAAATAATTAAATAGAATTTGAAAAGTTAAGATAATTTAAGAGGATCATTTTGCTTGACTATTTATATGTTCAAACATAAATATTGGTATAAAGTGTCCCCCAAATAAATGTGAACCACGTAACAAAAATGAGATTGTGAGGAGATAGAGAAAGTAAGGTGAGTATAATCAAAAAGTAGGCGAGAGTATAAAACAACAACAATGGAAGAACTGATTCAGTTAACAAAAATAAAACCACAATGGATTCTTTCAGTTAAAGAAGTTACTTTACTGTCATATGAAGCAAGTAAAAGATAATTACAGTAGGACAACAACTACCTTATATTCTGAACCATGTCTGATACCGTCTAAGGACAATGCTCCACTATCTCTAGGGCCCTAACCAAAAATTTATGAAGGATCGGCAGACGCCAGTCCTATAGAACTTCGATTTGTAAATCATAAACTTACCATCGCTTCGCGTTTCATAATCATTCCCAGCGTCGGCGGACAATGCACGACGTGGAATTCCCTGGACAACATTCCTAAGACATGTCCAAGACACCGAAGCCGACGTTTCAAGATAGTTACATCAATCGGACTATCGTCGCTGTACCTCAACACACGTTGCCGACCCTCTGCATTACTAACATAGTGCTACCGATGTAAGCCAGTAATCCATCAGAGTAGAAAATCATTGAACACAGAGTCGTCTAGCATCCTGAAGTCTAAGAGGTCAGGTCTCATAGGCATAGATTAGCGCAAACATGGGCATTATCAGGGTTCAGATAGGTACTCCAAAAGAAGCGGTAGTTTTGTACACAACCACTTCAGCTGTAGCTGATGACTTTGTGATCACTCTGAGTCTAGCATTGAGATGTAGAGGGAGAACACCAGGTAGCACTTCGGCGATAACTTTGTCGGTAGTTAATGATAGCCAGAAAAAGGATTTAGTTTGCGAACAGTTGCAGTAGATGATCACCTTAATCTAATCTGCGACCGTCGAGTCCCCATCGGTCACGTAAACGACTCTCTTCTGTGCCTAGATGCCCGATCTGTGCACTCAAGTCCCAATATCTGTCGAACACACTTTTTACAGAAGGATAGTTAATTGATGGTGAAACTCCTATTGACGTAATTTGGGCTGTGATCTGTCGGAGCGTAGGCGTAGATGATGAAAAGGCATTGTTTTTCACAACCACTTGCTGAAGCATTCTAATCTAACAGCATATAACCAACTGCCAACCTGGATCTGGTCGATTAGTGGTTTTTCTGTTCTGCCGTAACTCTGTGGCAACAACTCCAGTGAGATCTGGAAAAATTGTCACAGGATCCCCAGACAAATGCATGTGAATTTGTAGTATTTCACTAGTCTTGAGTATGAATATCAGATAGACAACAGACATCGGTGTTAGGACCTCCAAAGACATACCCAAACCTATCTGTTGTCCGATCTGCATTATTGTACGAGTGTTGCAGGAGTCTAGTTTAAAA